ATCAAAGTTCCCCTGGAAGCTCGGCCACAAAGTTCCGAACAGCTGGGCTGAGCCGCGGCGCTCACGAGCTCACGAGCTGCGCTGTTTTCGAGCCGGCAACAGCAAGCCAGCGGCACAGCGGGGATTGTAATCGCGGCGGGTAGGCAGCAGACACGAAGGGGGAGGTCGGGCTTCTTAGACCAGCTGGGCCGCGGCGTTGGGCGGCGTCAGCGGCATCAACGGTGCCAGCGTCTTTCGGAGCTGGCAGCTCGGAGGAGTAGAAATTTGCCGGTCCACTGCCAGCTCCAGGGCCGCAAGACGTTCACACCACCCCTGCCTCCCTCGGCTCAGCTCCAAAGCGCCAATTCCTCCTCTCTACGGGTTTTCTTTCGGTACGGAGCCAGAGCGGCAAACTCGGCAGCCATGTTTCTCGCCCATGCGCACAGGATAGTTAGAGCGGCCGCCAGACTCCGACAGTACAGGGGCTGGTGGGTCAGCCATGGAGAGGGTGGAGGACCCTGGACGGGGTGTTCAGGCTCGGCCAAAACTGTTAGAGCGGCCGCCAGACTCCGACAGTACGGGGGCAGGTGGGTCAGCCATGGAGAGGGTGGAGGACCCTGGAGAGGGTGTTAGGGCTCGGCTGGAGCTGTTAGAGCGGCCACCAGACTCCGACAGTAGGGGGGCTGGTGGGTCGGCCTTGAAGAGGGTGGAGGACCCTGGATGGGGTGTCGACGCCGCAAAGGGTGGAAGGAGACATGGTGGCCACCGGATACCTGGGGAGTCTTGGCTCAAGGGGACTATTCCTGTAGATATTTGGGAATCACGAAAGAGACACCACAGGAAATGAGTGCGGGCCATCTTATGGACAATCCATTCTGACCGCATCCAGACCATTGGAACCCGGGGAACAGGCCCTGTGGTGGGGGATAGTGTTGTGACTCAGCAGCAGCTTGCTGTGAGTTGCGTCGGGATGCAGGAATAATGAGCAGCTGTTGCTCGTTAGGGTCGTCTTGTGCAGATAAAAGATGGATGGTGCCACGCCTTAGTTGCAGAAGTCAACGTTCATTGTTCGTTGTTCGTGGTTCATCGTGGTTTGTTCGTGAGTTCAGTTTCGTGATTNGATATAGATATAGATATAGATATAGAGATAGAGATAGAGATAGAGATAGAGATATATAGATATAGATATAGATTAATTTATTTGGAAGAACTTAAGCCTAGTGACTGTAGATAGCTCATAAACCATAGTTCAAACATAACTATAAAACCATACTCTTCCTCTTAGACATCACACCAAATTATTCCATGCTTGCCTAGGAACCAGGAGACTGTGAGTTCTAGTCCAACTTAGGCAGGAAAGCAGACTGGGTGACTTTGCGCCAGTCACTCTCTCTCAGCCTAGACTGCCTCACAGGGTTGTTGTTATGGGGAAAATATGGGGAGGAAGGAGGATTAGGTTGGTTTGCTGCCTTGAATTGTTTATAAAGTAATAACAGTGTGCTAAAAATATAATAAATTTTTAAAAAAGCACTTGGTTTATTGACCAGCAGAAACATTTTAATCTCAGTTTCCTCTCCAGGCTAACTTGGGTTCACAAGTGTAAAGAAGCAGTGTAGGGTTGTGGTTGATTTTTAGCAAGAGTGTGTTCTTGCATTAAAATTGATTTATGCTGCAACTTTTTTCTAGTATGTCTGGATCTCCAGGGAGAAAACCAAATTCTCGAGTCGCACCACTCCAGGGTAGGAATTCAGTTGCTGAATTAGTCACCCGGTAAGCAACCTTTAATTAAACTGCATTACACTGAAACAAACCTTGAATTATTAAGAGCTTTTACAACACGTGACTTGGAGTCCTTCAACGAAATTCTGGAATTTAGCAAATGATGCAAATTACATCATTTGCATATTGAATTACAGCTAGTATTCGACTTGTTTAGTGAAAGTTACAACACAGGACTGAAAGAAGTGACTTATAACCAGTTTTCACACGTATGCCTGCATAGCATTCCCAAGGTTACGTGATCAAATTTCAAACACTTGGCAACTGGCAAGTTTTTATGACGGTTTCAATGTCCCAAGGTCATATAATCAACTTTTGTGACCTTCCGACAAGCAAAGTTAATGGGGAAACCTGCTTCACTCAACAATTGTGCTACTAACTTAACAACTGCAGTGATTCACTTAACAACTATTGGCAAGAAAGGTCATAAAATGGAGCAAATCTCACTTAACAACTATCTCACTTAGCAATGGAGATTTTGGACTCCCTTGTATCATACGTCGAGGACTACAAATTCTCCATCTCTCTGAACAGGAATTCAAAATATCCATAACAGCTTCATTCAATGAAATTGTATAAATTTATTCACACCTAGCTCCTTCCTCAATGAATTTCACTTCCAACACACACTTATTCCTCACACTTCATAGATTTTTCTCTTTCTAGGTACCAAAACATATTTGATTGTGCAAATCCTTCCTCAGCTGATCAGAAGACCAAGGTGAGAAAATAGTAGCATTTTAACGAGGCTATTAAAATTTTTTGCAAATTGGGTTGCATTCACACAACTTCCATATTGATTCAACCGACTTTCGGGTTTTGTAAAATTGATTAAATAGCAGTTAACTAAACCGTTTTAGGTTAATTAAGCCAGTTTGTCAGAGAATTGCGCAGCAAGTGTCCAAATGAAGCCAGAGACACTGACACAAACGTCAGGTTTTATATAAATAAATTTATTTAACATTTTTATATAGAGCAGACAAGATAGTCAGGATCTGACTATCACAGGAACATCGTGAGGTAAATTTAGACAGAATGCAGAGCACACAGAAGAAAAAGGCGGGGAAAAAGGGAAACGCCCTGTTTACACCCAACCAATCACAGCGTAGATTGCCTCACGCAGGAGTCAGCGCTCGCCAACCAAACGGAAATGTTTAAGCAAAAAAAAAAATTAACAAGCATATAAACCATGATAATAATCACCATGATTAACAAGCTTATGAATGTATCTGCTAGGCGTTTATCTGATCCGCTTAAATGTGGGAACCTGGATGCTGGCTATCTTTTGAATCAGCCACAAATTGTATAATTTAAACTTTAAACCATAGAGTTTGCCTTGGATCAAGATAACGGTCACTAAATGAACAACTGAAAATTTCCTGTAAAAGAAATACAAGAATTTCAATTTAAAAAATAAAAAAAAATACCCGGCACATCCTTTTAAAAAAAACCATTACTAAACAGAGTATCTTTCCTGCAAAACCTTGAATCTCACTGTTCCATAATATGCACTACAGGCAGTCCTCAACTTACAGCGGTTCATTTAGTGACCAAAGTTGCAACATCCCTGAAAAAAAGTGAATGGTGACAATTTCTCACACTTATGGCTCTTGTAGCATCTCCGAGGTCACGTGATCAGAATTCAGACACTTAGCAATTGATTCATATTTATGATGGTGGCAGTGCCCGGGGATTGGATGATCAGCTTTTTGAGACCTTCTGAAAACTTTAGGTTCAATTGTCATCGCAAGTGGAGAACCACTACATGTGCATCAGACTACGTGTGCATGGATTTTATGTGAGATGCATGGAAAATCACCTGAAGAGATTACAAAGCCATAGCCCATTTCTACAGTTTTCCAAGATTGCATTCTGTCTGAGATGAGGCTCTGGCATTGCACCAGAGTTCGAAAGCAGCTGCATGTTGCAGGAATTGCAGTTCTGACTTTGGGTATCCCCCCCCCCCCACCCGCTGGTTTACTTTTTAAAATTTAACTATCCATCTGACCTCTGCTTCTTTGGCCACTCCATTTCCTTAAAGGCAAAGATTCCTCTCGCATATATGTGCTAGTCATTCCCGACTCTAGGGGGTGGTGCTCATCTCTCTTTCAAAGCCAAAAAAGGAAGGAGAGAAGAAAGAGAAGAAAGGGGGG